ATTTGAAGTCAATGGGAATTCAAGGTGTTTTAACATTTCACAGGATCTGCCTCTTGTTGAATGGCAATATTACCCACAAATTATTATTAAAATGCTTTTAAATAACAATACTCAAGAGCTGTTAAGTGCATCTCACATGCCAGCTGATTAAACCTTTTATTTGTAATTCTATTATGAGGCATATATCAACAAAGTATCTGGGTGCACTGTATATTGTTTTAATTAAGGAATATATTGTTTAGATTAAGAAGTCAATGACACCTCCTAGCCAAGGCAGACTACAATACATACTTTAACACTTAAATTAATAAATCCTAATAAGCAACAATTTATTCCAGTGGCTTATACAGTACAGTGAATTTCCTGATGAATAGTACATAAAAAGCTACCTTCCACTAACACCGTATCAAAAAAGTTTTGCATCTCACAGGATCTATTAATAGGCACTTCTGATTCAAGCATTCATTAAGAATGCCATTAGATATTGCAGAAAAACATAAAATGTTAAAGATACAGGAAGCCGGAATAAGACACCCATTATTTCAAATGTATTTCGAAATAACAGGCATGCTGTTAAGATGTGCAGAACGCTGTTTTGTGACAATGGGCATTATCCTGACATAGAACTACTGTGTAGACGTATCCTTAAAGTGCAAGTCGCCTCAGAAAATGATTTTATTAAAATGGTTATGGTGGCTCCCATGTCAATCTTTCATAGATTTCCATATCAAATAAGTACAGTTTCAAAGGTAGGGCTAGCCCATTGGGGGTCCTAAATAGGAATATTTTTCCCCTTTTCACAACACATAATACAAAAGCACACAGGTGGCCCCCTGGAGCTGCTCAGGACCCTGAAGTTTCAGAGGGGTAACTGAGTTAGTCTGTAACTGGAAAAACTTGAAAAACAATGAATAGTCTAGCACCTTAAAGACTAATAAAACATGTATGGTATCAGCTTTCAACAACCCACCTCTTCAGATGACTGGCGAATTAAAAATCCAGATCCAAGAATTTACTTAGTCTGTTTATGTCTAGCAGATTCCAAAAGTTTGTAAGTAAAATACCCCCTCACCCCTGCACACAACTATTGAACTGCTCCCTGGGCTCGGTTTCAGGTTGCTGGGTTGTTTTTTTTATTATTATTAGCTTTATCTATACCAGAAAGAAAGTTTGCAGACAAAACTATGCCCTGATACGACAGCTATGCAACTCCATTAGCTGTCAGTGGGTTTGCACCAGCGTCCCTGAGTACATATATGAAGTCGAGGAGATAACAGTTGTAGTTGATTCCAACTGGGCTTCTAGAACAGGGGCAGAGAACCTCAAGATCAGGGGGCTGGATGTGGCTCCTGTCTTGCCTGGATCTCCCCCCCCCCATAGCATTAGAACACATAAAACTTACTAAGCCCATTCCCCCTAGGCTCTGGTGTGTGAGAGGAATGCAAGGAGTCTCTCTCCTTCTTAAGTCAGGGATGCTTGCTTTTTTTTTTTTTTTTTGCTTCTCGTGTGGTCCCAGACTGATTTTTCTGTGGGTCTCTGGCTCCTGACTCAAAACAGATCCCCTACCAGAGAAACTTATTTTCAGGGTTGCTGATAAAGGGCAGCTTCTATGCTGACTTAAAACCGATGTCAGGTCAGTTTCTGTTTCCCTTCCCCCGCCACCCAGGCCCCTGGGTCCCACAGCCCCTTCCTCTGTCCGGATCAATGCGGTGCGTGCACGGCATGGGGGCGGTACAAGGCAGCTCCTGAGGTCTGCCTGCGCTGTTGCGTCAGAGCAGCCCCACTGAACCATGGGAGATGTAGGCGCCGCTCTCCCAGCTGCTTTTCTCCTTCTGGCTGCCAGGGGGCAGCGTTGAGACAACGCAGGCGGGGATTGGCTGCGGGTCACTCTGACGTTCAGGGGCCCCGCCCTGGAGCGGGAGGCGGAGTGAGGAGCGCGGCTGCTTCCGACCAACCCGGCCTTTTTCCCCCTCCCGCCGAGCGCCGGAGGACAGTTACTTGGCGGGT